TGGGTTGTAGGTGATGTTGGGATTTTGTTTTTACTTGGTAGCTTTTTGTTTCTGCTTGGTAGCCACAGGTCAGCAGAGATTTTGACAGATCAAGAATTCGGCAGGGGTTCATCCCAGGAGAAATAAAGCAAATAAAGTTTGGTTAAAAATGTGAAAATGGGAGAAACAAACAGGAAAGGCCTAGAGAGAAAAAACATGCCATTGTACACGGTTTGTGACGTCTCTTTTGGTCCATTTTTTTGCTGCCTTTTTCCTGATCTCTGTCTCTCAAGGCAGTCTCCTAAATAAACTCAGAGGCAGTTCCAGAAGGCTGTGGAAACAAGCTGGTACCTATAGCAGGAGAGCAGTCCTTATTGACTTTGGGAAGATAAGGATCAGGGCCCTGTGTAAGTTCAATTCATACAATTACATGGAGGAGAATGAATTGCTGGGGAAAGCAAACTAACTGAGAACTCTTTCAAGATGGGATTTTCAAATTGGGCCAAAAGGAAATGAGGTGCCCAGATTCCATTAAAATAGAACTGAAAGCTGGAGCATAACTCTCCCAGTCCCTTCTGATAAACAGCTCAGCAAAAGTTCATTGTGGTTGATAACCTTGAAGGTTTGTAGCTCCACTATCAGCATCAGCCTTGACATGAAAGGAGGAGGAAGGCACAGAATCCACTCCTCTGGCATTAGTCCCGAGGGATGCGTGGCAGCAAAACTTCCCACTGGGGGAGGATGGGGAGCACTTCAGTAACTGCTAACGGCATCAATTCCCACAAAACCTGTTTAAGTTGCTGTTTAGGGACTTGCAAACGGCCTTAAATAGCTCCTGCCATTGCAGATCTCCTTGGGAGTGCTGTTAGTGGTGCACTTAAACATCTGCACCTTCCTTTCACTGCTCTCCGAGCCAGGCTCGGGCCAGCCTGGTGTTTGTGTTTCTCCTGGGCAGAGGAGGAGTAGGGCAGGAACAGCCAGGGCTCTTGGGCTGTGCTCCCAGACTAAACCTGAACTCTGGTGAGGCTCTGCAGATGCTCCTCCTGTGATCTCCCTCCTCCTCTGTGCATTTTGATCAGCAGAATATGCTTTGGTCTGCAGTTTATATGGATTATGGCACGTGGAATGCAGCACTGGGGTTCAGCTGTTTCCTGTGAAAACTGGCAGAGATTTTGCCAACAGCCACTCCTGGTGCACTGGGGTGTTCTGAGATGGTTCTCCCACCCCAGTCCCACATTCCTGTGCTTTTCCCATTGGGCACATCCACTGTGATGCTTTGCAGGATGGGGAGATGGACAGAGGGGTGCCCAAGGACTCATCCTGTTCCCATGCAGGGCACAGCTGTGGTAGAGGCTGGCCAGAATGGCCCCCACTTGTTTATGCCAGTAATTTCAGGAATTCCATTGCAGTGCTTTGTCCTCAGCCTTATTTTCAAGGTTGCCAGCACAAAGCAAAAGGAGTTGCCTGATTTGAACTCAAATTCTTCTTTATTGCTGCTGTCCCAAATTTCAGAGGCAATGGGACAAGTTTATGCCCTTCTCTCTGGATCCCAGATTCCCTGACCTAATTCCAGTTTCTCCCCTTCATGGAGCCAGTGGCCCAAACTACTGCTCTTTCCATGGCCACCTTTTAGTGACCAAAGGAGTAGTCCTGGGCAGGGCTGGAGGTTGTGTGAAAGAATTGGTGAGTTTGTGCTCTTCATCCCAAGCCCATGTCCTGGGTCAGTCTTGGGTTGTGGGTGAAAATACCCTCTCAATCCAATAAAATATGATTTAGGTGAGGAGATGAAAAGTGGGTTTAGCTAAAATACTGCATCCCACACTTGAGTGCATTATTTATTCTTCAGGGGACTGAAATATTTTACTATTGGGCAACCAAGGGGAAGTAACAGTGCAGAAGTTTAGTTGGGTATGAAATATCTGCTCTTACACAGCCTCTTTGAACCAAAAGCCAAATGAAAGCTAACAGTGGTCTTCCCTTCCTGTTTTCCAAGTGGCCAACCTCAGTCCCTGATTCTGAGCAAACTGGGGTGTTTTTTGTCTTCAGTGAAGAGCAGATGCAAATACATTGTGAAGGCAATTAGAGTATTTTTATCTTTGCTCACAATAAACTGCAAGCACAATGAAATTGTTAGCACAAGGTTGAAGGTTATTTACTACGATTATATGCCACATGTCATTAATCTCTTCCCCACTTTTTTATTCTTTTATTAGCAAGATTTTAAATATCCAGGGGATCTCTACAGAATTCTGCAAGGTCAGATGAAAAGGCTGAAAATACTTAGCACAGGTGGCTGTGTGTGCAGAATGCACTGCCTTAACAAGGTGCTTTTTGCTGCTCTCTGGTGACCTGCAGCTCCCTCCAGGACTGGCAGCAGCAGCTTCCCTGTCCTGCAGATCAGCACATCCCAACAAGAGTGTGCCTGTTATCAGGCCACTTTCCCCTGCAGTCCTCTCACAGCACTGCTCTAAAAAGATGGTAAATGACAGAAAAGAGAGGGAACACAGGGCCTGCTATTCCCCAGTGGAAAGGAGCGTGTTAAACATTGCTTTTCTTCCTGGCTGCTGTTGGAGGTTGCTGAGCTCTCTGGGGAATGTGGCTCTGTCCTCCTCCGTGGCCCTGTGTCCCTGTCACCTTCACTTTGACCAGTGACTGTCTTCTGCAGCAGCCCAGATCTGCCAAGACAGCCAGGTGAGAGCAGATCAGGCCACACGCACACGGTCTGAGTCCACCAGCACTGCGGGGACAACACAGCCTTGCTCAGAAGGCAAACACAGCCCAGATTGTTTGGAGTCAAGGATTGGAGGTGGGGTAGAGTGGGGAAGAGCAGGATGGCTGTTTTGGAGGGCAGCCCCATGCACAGGTTCCTCATGGTCCCTGAGGAACCAACACCTTGGCCCCAAAGTGCTGAGTTCCTCCACCAGTTTGGTGGGAGGTTCAGGAGAGCTGTGTGATCCTGGGAGAGGAGATGATGCAAGAGGGGCCTTGCTTTGCACCTTCTGACACCTGCTCAATTAATTATTTTCCAAAAATGGTTTTATGATGTCATGCAAGCTGGAAGCCAACATTCTGTGGCCAACCTTGTCCTCAGTGTCCTTTTCTCTGGCTAAAGTAGAGCGAATCTTTGCTGCAGAAGAGATCTTGGTTTAATTCATTGTGCCTGCAGCTTTAAGGTTAGAATAGAACATAGACAGGATGATAATTATGGCTCTGAAGCTCTTCTGGAGAAGGCAGCATGAGGGAATGCCCCATTTACATTAAAAACAAATCCAGGAGAAGGTGATGAAGAAATGCTTTCACCATGTTCCTTCTCCATGATCAAAAGCCACTTGCCTAACCCAAACATCTAATTGTCACATGATGAAAAATGTATGAGATCTCCTGAACATAGAAAAGATTGTGTGTAGCAGCATAAATACTTGATTGAAATGCATAATTAATAATTAATGCCTTCACTCAGCCTCATGTGGAAGAACAAGACCAAGGGGGCAGGTTGTCCAAGGGATGGATGGATAAGTTTTTGTACCAAGGCAGCAGATTAGTGAAACAATGCTGGTAACTTTTCACTTTTGGAGAAGGAAAAAGAAGCTTGAGGTTATCTGTAAATTTTAAGGGGACTTGGATATATTTGAGAAGCCAATGAGTTAAAAAACTTCAGGCAGCCCCAGGCACATCCATGATTTGAGCAATTAACTTTTATTTACCAAGAACTTTTTTGGTATGTAAAAATATGTAAAAATTGCACACTGAAAGTGGGGATAAAGTGTAGAAAATGCTGTGCTTGTTGCTGAGGGGTGTAGTGTGATGTGACCACGTGCTCCCCAGAGCCCACCCTGCTCTTGACTCATGTGCAGAACTTCCAGGGATTCAGAAAAGACAACGCACAACGCTTCCGTAGGTTCAACTGTAAATGATGCCTTTATATTGTACCCAGTGCACACAGAACTGCTGCTCTCTTTTACCACAGTAATTCAGGAAAATACTCAGAATACGGATTCATTTTAAGCCTGTAAAAAATACAGTTCAGTATTGGACCAAATGTAACTGTCTTGGTAGTTTTAATCTTAATTTCTGCTTTTGGAGGAACATTAATCCAAATAAGTTTCTTTTCAAGTAATTTCCAAGGTTCAACTGGATTATTTCAGTTTGGTAGCACTGAGGTTTTTTTGTCCTAACTGATGGTAATGACAGCTAAATGTCAGCTTCATTTCTATTTTAGCTCAAAATATAAACAGAAAAGTATACAAAAAGGAAAATGTCCTGTTACACAGTCTGTGAGTTCTTCTTGCTGTGTACTCTATGCCAAACAGTTTTGATTCTGCATGTGACTCTCAGTCCAAAAGCCATGCTGAGACATTTTTCTCAATAAATTATTTTCCATATTTTGCCTCTATTGCAGAGAAAACACTGCTATTAACATAAATGCATAAAAAACCTGAACCTGGAACTTCATTTCATCAAGAAAAAACCCCCATGATATTTTTTATATAACATTTTGGATATATTTTATGTCAAAACATGGTCACCAGTCAAACTAGTGACATCTAAACCCAATACATTATTGTGACGTCTAAATTAAAAACATCAGAACCAAACTAAATTTATTATAGCTCTGCCTTCATTAAACACCGTGTGTTGGTGATTTAAACACAACAAAACTCTAGTAATTCTTCAAAAGTGTCTACTAAATAGAATAAAAAGAATAAGAACAATTAACATTTAGTCTGTTACATTAAAAAACTGGATGTACTTATTCCTATTGCCTGTTAGCTTTACCTAAGCCTTCAACTACTACAAAAAAAATAATAAAAAAGAAAACTCATTGCTGAAAGTCAAAAACATTCAAATCAGTTGATACAACATTACAGTACAGTCAACTAACACCATTCAGGGTCTCCTTTTCTCAGGGTAGAGTCCTCAGACCAGGGTCACAAACCTAGATCACTGCAGGTCCAAAACTGAGGGTTGGCTCGGTGCGATCCTGCCCCGCGATGGCTTCGGGGAACGCGGGCTCACCCAGCCCCTCCTTTTTATTCAGCACTGGAGTTAGGACAGTGTTAAGTTTAGCACGATAACTAAAAAAAAAAAAAAAAAAAATTAAAAAAAAAAGGAAAAAAGAATAAAATAAACAGAGGAGTGGAAGCTAGGTGAAGCTGCCATTTGTGTCAACCCATTGCGATACGCTATACTAAAAAATCCTGAAATATCCACCTGTCCTCACCGCTCTGCCACGGGCTAGCAAAGTCAAAAATACAAAAGTCTTCAACTCGTCGTTTTTGCAGAATAAAGCAAAAAAGTCTTTGTGCTCCTTACTACCAGAAGCAAAATATCCTCTGAGTTACCACATGTAATAGCTTCTGGATGTGTCGACTTGGGTCGGCTTGGTCTCTGCAGAGCCATCCTTGTCTTTTTCACTGTCACCTTCCCAGAGATTAATAAGTGGAGGGTAGAGCTCGTTCAGGGGGATTGAAGAGGTCTTTTGCATATATTTTTTCAATGAGTGGTGGTAGTTTTTTCTCTTAAACCTTTTTGCAATATAAACAGAGACGGAGGCGAGGCTGATGACAGCAAACATGGATCCCATCACTGCTGCCAGGGCCGTGCTGGTTTCCTGGTCAGAAATATCCAGTGCAAAAGCCGCGTTTTTGGTTGTGACGTTGACACAGGATCTCTGTGTTTGCTGATGGATGTTGGACACTGTCAGACACACTTCATAATCTGTAGAGGGTTGTAAATGTGTGAGGTTGTATTCGTGGACATCCACCGGGACCCGGGCGGTGTAGGTGATGTGAGGGTTGTCAATCTTCATTGTGGCCGATGACCATTTTAAATTGGATGTCATGATGTTGGAATTGACTTTCCATGAAACCAGGATGGAATGGGATTCGGCTTGCTTAACGTAGATCTTCAGAACCTGGGTGCCATCCAGGAGCGTTCCGTTCACCCGGATGGTAGCGACCCTCGTGTCGGCCCCCTCTATGTTTTGAGCGACACAGGTGTATCTCCCAGAGTCCTCAACCTGGATATTGGAGATTTCCAAGGTGCCCTCACTGCTCAGCTTGTATTTGTCAGAGAGGCTTTCCACGGTGACTTTATTGCCCAGAGGGGTGACCCAGTAGATTTCTGGCTCAGGTTCTGCCATGGCCCGGCAATCTAACAGCACTGTCATGCCGATGTCCAGGTTCAGGTGATTGGGAAAGGTCTCGTGAGAGATCATTGGAAGACATTGCTCATTTGAATCCTGTATCAGCACTTCCTTCACCTGCTGTCCCCGGTATTCTGGAGGCATAGCACAGAACATGGAGAGAGGCTCCATGAAGCGGATGTTGGTTTTGTTGGAGTTGATCCAGTGGATGACGCAGTCGCACCTGAGCGGGTTGCTGTGGATGCTGATCTCCCGCAGGTTTGGGAGGGATTCCACGGTCTTTTGGTAGACTGCATTCAAGGCATTGTTGTTGAGCATCAGGCTCTCCAGGGCGGGGACGTTGCGGAACGCCAGGCGATGGATGTAAGACAGCTTTGGGTTGTTGGTGGCTTCCAGCTTTGTGAGTTCAGGCAGGTTGTCCAGCGCGTACCTATCGACAGACACGAGCTCTCCCATGTTGTTGATCCCAAGCTCTTTCAGTCTGAGCATGTTTTTAAAATCCCCTTCTTGAATTTTATGAATTGGATTTTTGTTGAGATCCAGGAATTTTAAATTGGGAACTTTCTCAAGTGCAAGCTGAGGAACTTTTACCAATTTGTTGTCATAAAAAGAAAGACTTTCAAGACTATCCAAGCCTACCAACGCATTGCCAGGAATGTCTGTGAGGTACATACCTGCCAAAACTAGACTCCTTAAGTTTGAGAGTGGTTTGAAATTCATATCAAGTATTCCAATCACTGGGTTTTCTCCAATCATGAGAATCTCTAAGTTGGGAGTAGAATCAAACCAACGGCTGTCAATAACCTTTAATTTGTTGGAGTTGAGGTGTAATCTCAGAAGATTTTTCAGGCCAGAGAATGCGTTTGCAGAAATGCTGCTGATCTGGTTGTGATTTATGTAGAGCTCCTGCAGATTGCAGAGGTCTTGCAGGCAGTAGTCAGTCATCTCTGTGATCTGGTTCTCCTCCAGGTGCAAAGTCGTGAGCTGAGTGAGGTTGGAGAGCCCCACGTCTCTGATACTTGTGAAGTTATTTTGTGAAAAATCCAGTTCTGTTAAATTAAAGAGCTGTTGGAGTTCGTCTGTGGTTTTTGCAATGTTGTTGCTTTGTAACAGAAGGACTTGAGTGTCACTGGAGAGGTTGCTGGGGATTTTTGTTAACCGGAGGTCGTTGCAGTCAACTGTGGTGGCTTCCCTGTAGGTTGACTGTGGTGTAAACCAGGGCCTGATTTCACAGACACAAAGCTGTGGACATTCACTGCTCTGTATGGAAGACTCAGTTAATGAATTCATTAACAATTCTAGCACCAACTGGCACACAGTTAAAACAACTCTAACCTTTGCCATGCTGGCCAGAGAGGGGGTTCAGCTCCCCAACCCCCTAAAATCCCCACGGAGGAAGAGGGTGATCCCCTATCAGGCAGAAAATGTAAAGCTTGACGTTTAAGGTGAAAGGCTTGGACATCCAGAAAGGTGAAAGATGATTTTCTGGGTTTAGTGAAGTTAAGAAATGTTCTGAAGACTCTCAGCTGCTCCTCAGTGTTTTAGAATCTTCTGTAAATCAGCGCCTGAAGATGGTCCTGAAAGTAGATTAGGGGATATGTTATGCTCAGCTCATATACAGTTCATCTATTATTTAGTTTCTTCAAGCTTTGAAAGAAAACATCTAAAAACAATCATTATTTTTACAATAATCTCATAAAAATCCCAAACTGGTGTAGGTAAATTATGTAGGGTTTGGAACTCTCTCCTTCTTGGGGTTTACATGAGAAATCTCTCTGAGTGAATTATCTAAAATAAAACTTTGGGATGGATACCTTTCAGATTCACCCTGCAGGAGTTTGAATGGCTTGGGAATGCTGAGGTTGGAGGATGTGCTGGTGAGCACAGCAGGGTCTCAGAGAGCATCAACACCCAGCCCCTGTCCCCAAGGCTTGGATTAAGGCTCAGAAAGCTGCTGGTTTAGAAGTTTGAAGCTAAATGCTTATGAACTTTGCCAAAATTTATCCGAGTTAATCAAATCAGTTCCAGATAACAGCTTAGATTTAATCCAGCTCAGCACCAAACAATAACAGTAAATTTGATTAAATGAATGTACTGCCCTTATTTCAGCTGTTTGTACTGCATTGTGATCGTATGAACTGTTCACAATTCCAAATTGCTGTGTAAGCCCCACATTTGTGTCTGCTTAGCCTGAAGTGGTTCATGCAAGAGTGCCTTTAAATTAACCCAGCTGTGTCCAGGCACCTCACAACATCTGGTGTACTGTGAAGCTTTGAACACATATTCCAGAAAAATCTCAGAGTAAAATCTTTCTCCTTCTCCCTTCATCTGAAAATCACTCTGCTGAGTGCAGTTGAGACTTCTCAAACAAAAGGTTTGGGTTTTTCTGTAACTAAAATAATCAGGTTGTGCTGTGTGGATTCCCCATCCCTGGAAGTGTCCAAGGCCAGGTTGGATGGGGCTTGGAGAAACCTGAAACATTGGAAAGTGGCAGGGGTGGCACCGGATGGGCTTCAAGGTCCCTCCCAACCCAAACCACTCTGTGATATCTGAGAGAACTCAGTGATGAAATCACATCTTCTTCAATTAGAATGTAGCAAAGCTCCAACCAGGTCACAGCCCACAAAAGATGGTACTACATAAAATAATAAAACTAAATACAGCATCTAAAATAGGTTTAAAATACTCCTCTGGATAGTGATGACAGGAATCCCATTTGTACAATGCTTACTTCTAAATCTGATCATATTAAATAATGAAATTACTGTGTTTTATTTTAGATTATGATGCAATGCTGTAGGTAGAACACACCCAACAGCAATTTCATTATTTATTTTTATATTGTCCTTCTGTGGTTGTGCTTTGGAGGAAGGGGAAGAGGAGTGGGACCCAGAACACATTTGACCCTGTTGAGTCAGATTTTCTGTCTGGTAGCTGAGACTTGAATGAGAGCTGAGCAGACTCTGCTGGAGGGGGGAAAACCAACTGTAGGACCAACATTCCTTCCCAAATAACTTCCCACTGATGGAAGAATTGACTAAGATTGTATTAAAAACGAAATCCTAATGGCACTGTGGCAGTAGGGAATGTGCTAGCGTGGAGTGCTGAGGAGGCTGGGGGAGCTGAGCTGTGCTGGCTCTGATGGATGCTTCCCTCCACAGCAACACATTTGTAGCTGACCCAAGCCAGCCAGTTCTAGGAAAATTGATGGCATCTGAAGTTTAATTGATTTAATTGCAGATTTTCAAATGGCAGCGTTTTGCAGTGAATAATGCAGGCGGTGCTTTCCCCCAGGCAAGGTGCCCTGAGCTGCTGTGCCCGTGGGCTGTCCCCTCACACTGGGACATGTCCCTGCTCCAGCTCTGCAGCAAAGAGGGAGCATTGCTCCCAAAATTCCTGCCTGTGGAATTTCTCCTGCAGCTTCTCAGTGGATGAAGAGAAGGGAGTTGGAGCCTTACAAAGCTGAGGGCCCTGATGATGTTTTACTACTGCTCTAGCCCTGATGTAGCTGCATGAATCATGTAATGCTTTAAAAACCAAACTGCCTGAAAAACACTTCAAAGGTTCTTTTAAAATATGTAGGAGCGTGTCTAGATGTTGCAAAAAACATCAAATTCGATCTTTCTTTGTTGAATATTTATATCCTCTTACTAGCACGTTACAGTTATTGTTCATCCTTGCTAAGAAGGCATTTGTGGGTTTATTGACCAGAGTTCTGGGTTTATGATCACTGTAAATATATGATTTTACAAGTTCCTAGTGGCTCATTCTCTTCTGTAGCTATTTTCTACTGCAAATGGATTTAATTTTCTTTGACTGCAAATTTAGAAACAACGCACACACATTGCTTTCCTCAGTCTCTCCCAGCCCAGGGCAGCTTGGATGAAGGTGGAAATTAAGTTGCAGGGCAATCCAAGAGTGAATTCTGAGCAGCCCCAGGTGCCCCAGCCCATCTCAGAGCTGTGCTGGCGTGAGTGGCAGCAGGAGGAACAACCCAAGCCATGGCCTTTGGTTTGAGCTGCCTGTGGTGTGTAAAACCCATGCACAGCCTTGACCAAAGCTGCAGAGGCAGCAGAGCAGCCACCAAAAGCCATCCCTTTGCCCCAGGATGCTCAGCTTTCCAGCCTTGGCAGCACTGATCCCAGACACCTCTGCAGTGTTTGGTGTGGCAGACACTGAGGGTGTGAAGGAAAGCTTTTAGCATTCCCTGCCTTCCCTCTCATTTGTTAGATTCATATTTTCTGCTGCTCCAACCCACAACAGCAGTTGTAACAGCTGGTAACTTGATATCAGCAGAAATAATGGCTAATTTTATGTGAGAGATATGGAGGGAATTATTTTACTCCGAGCTAATTAAATGCATTTTCCGTGGCACTGCTCAGTACCCAGTGCAGAAAAAAAGCCACATTTCTGTCACCAGCAAACCCACAGCAGCTGCCTGGGGCATGGGCTTGTTCCTGATCCCTGAGGGCAGAAACACAAGCATCATTCCTGCCTCCCATCCTGGAACTGCCATGGGGACATCTAACTCTTCCCTTCCCACCTAAGTTCTGAAAAATTGTTAATCCTGGGAATTTGTTTGGCCTAAGAAATCCTGAGGGCAGGTGTTTGGTTATGGAGTAGAAGGTCCTTAATTTCAGTTTTCCTGGGAAAGGGTGGATGGGAAGATGTGTGCCCTGGCAGCCACGGCCTTACTGGTGGTTCTTAAAGAGTGAGGTTGGGTGGGTGATTGGAAAAAAAAAAATACATTTAAACCTCTAATGCAGGAAGAGGAATATATGAAGGGACAAGCATGAAGTAAACTGTTCATTAGAAGTGTTCACACTTACCCTGCCAACTAAAAAGAACAGCTATTACACATTTTTGCTTGGTAATAGGAAAACAAAGTGTTGTCACTTCCCTGACAACTGTATTAATGGTCACTATTAAAATTCGCTGAAAAGAGCAACAATCTTGTTTGCACATGGATATCTGGGTGCATTTTGAAACAGTGATGCTGCCACAGCAAATCCTCCCTCTCCACAGTTAGGTGGCTCAATCTTGCAGAATTTCTTTTATATTGCAGTAGCATCAGCCCAGATTTTGGTCGGCAGCCACCCGCACTGAGTGTGCCCAGGTAAAAGTTGGAAGGATCAGATACATGAAAAAATTACCTCAGGCTAAGACAAGCAATTTATTCTGCAGTTGCTGAGAGCCAGGAGGACACGCTGCTCCCCCGTTCCTCCCCTCCTTCCCAGGCTGAGCCTCAGTACCTGAGCTGTGTGCTGGAAAATTGTCTGTTCTGCTGATGGCTCGTGCAGCTCCTGCATTCCCACCACCATCAGGAAAAGCTGTCCTGGCTGCTGCAGCCTGGCTCGGGTGGGACAGCCCTACCCAGGGACCTGCAGCAGGGCTTGTGCCAGCCAGGAGAACTGGGAGGGCTCAGGTGGAACTGGGAAATGGGATTCAGACTGGGAGCAGTACAGATCCAGGCTCTGCTGTGTCCCTCAGCAATGGGACAAGAGGAACGGGCAGGAACTGACGCCCAGGAGTTCCAGCTGAGCATGAGGCAGAACTTCCCTGTGCAGTGACCACACCCTGAGCACCCTGTCCAGAGAGGGGCTGGGGTCTCCTCCCCGGGGATATTCCAGACCCATCTGGACACAATCCTGTGCTCTGGGATGGCCCTGCCGGGGCAGGGAGGTGGCACCAGATGTCCCTTCCAGCCTGACCCATTCTGTGACTGTGGAAGAGCCTCTTGGGAGAGGGGACCTCCAGCTGGAGGTTGGGCTGGAGCTCTGGAAGCTGGAAGCACCACTGGAGGTGAGGGGGCCCACAGGGCTGGTTAGGGCAGCTGGGCAAGTGTAAGGAAAGGTTTTTGTGTGTGCTGGAGATAAAACCCACCCTGCCCTGCTCTGTCCTGCCCTTCAGCAGGGCCTCTGCAGCTGTGCATCCCTGTTCTCCTGGATAAAACAGGATTGGTGCTGTGCCCAGCTGAGCCTGCACCTCTGACTGGGCTTTGGGAGGGAGAGGCACTGAAATAGGAGCAGCCTCTAAATCCCAGCAGTAAGCTCAACACTAAACCCAGCCTAAAAGCAGGTTAGTAAAGTCACTCCAGTCACGAGCATCAGTGACCTTGTACATCCTAGAGACAGAGAAGCTGGAGTTTAATAACCAGCACATTTCCAGCCCACCCACGCAGCAGGCTCCTTTCCCAGGAAGTGCAATCCTGTGTATTTAGAAAAATATTGAGGAATAATGCTTGATAATAAGCCTTTTATAGTGAGGTTTTTAAAGTCTCCAATGTCATCAGGAAATAAGCTGTTTACAGGTCTGAATTGTGGAAAATGCAGAAAAATCAAGCTGGAAATGATGACAGTTGAAGGAGCTTGAAAAAATCTGAACGTGGAGCTGGGTATTAAAAGGAAATAAAGAAACAAGGGCCTGTATGACATGTAATAATGGTATAAAGCCCCAAAACACATCTTTAGGGATTTATAATATTAAAGTTTTGAAGGTTTTTTCCTTGCAAATAATACCTACTTTTTCTTCCCATCTGTACACACATTCCATCAAAATAAAGTCTGTGTTTA